TTTTTTTGCCTAATGTTTACTGAACTTGAGTGATTAATGTATTATGTGAGCCCTTATTTATTAGTTCTTTGGCTATTCTTGCCGTTCTTATGGAAACTGTTGGCGGCTAATTATTTTTTACCTGGTGGAGTTATTTATAAGTTGAGGTTGCGAATTTCGCATTAAAAGTTAGTATTTGGGTCATCCAATTCTGAAGGGGTTTACTTATCCGGTTTATGCAGGCTTGGAATTCAGGTGCATTGACAAGAAAAATTATTCGTTGTATCCAATCACCTCCCTCACAACCTTTTTCGCACCCTTTTTGTACTTGGTTCTGGTAGATCACGTGTAGAATCATTAATTTTATGAATTTGAACACCGATAGCGGTGGTAGCACTATGAAAGTACGAACGCATTAAACGAGACCCTAAACACACGATCGTTTGCCTTGAGGTGAGGAGCAACACCTACCTATTTATTATTTTCTTGTTGACAACTTTAATTTATCTAACCTACTCTAACAAAATTACTGTCACAACTTACAGGAAACTTACTTATGATACTGTTGATGAAAATTATGATAGGGATTATACAAATTGCAGACAGACACAAGTCTCCATCTAGGGATTTATTTCAAAAATATCTTTATGCCACTGTTGCAGCATAAACTATGAGTAATTTTACACTTATTCCACTAAAAACCCAAAATTCAGTTTTTTTGACACTGTTGTCGCCCATGAAAACAACTAATTTTATTAAACCAGATTAGTGTTAAGGTATAAAATATAGCAAAGATTTATACTATTTAGCTGAATTTTTTTAATGATTTTTAATTAACATGTAGAGATACATATTTGCTTTTAAAAAATAAAACTTTAATTTACTCAAACCTTATTCTTACGTACGAGTATATTATGTTTTATAATATTTTTTTATTACCTATTTTAGGGTAAGGACTTGGATGATAGCGTGCCACAGAGAAGATTTATTTACAACAATCGACAAAATAAGCAAATCATCCTATAGCTATATATATAGGCTATGTGGTGAACATTTTGACAACAAAATTTACCAATGAATCAAGTAGCAGATTACAAAAAAATGTAAATCCCGTATTATGTATGTATTATTTTACCTGTATAAATAAAATTTAAGTATTTTTGTATTAATAAAATTGTATTTTTTAAATATATTTTTATCACAGCCCATATGTAGATCCAATAATGCAATAATTAATACATATTTTACCTGCCGCATAATAATTTTTATTGTGCTGCAAAATATTAGGATGGACATTATTATTTTTAAGCGTGGCTATAGCGTATACGCGTAGTAGAAATATCGCAAGGTTACAGCAACTTACTGAAAAAGGTCAAAGTGCCGAAAGGAGAGTGACCCTGCTGTTTATGCTTATGTTGTGGTTTTATAATACATAAATCCCAGATATTTTCGAACGTTGTATAATACACAAATCCCACGTATTTACAACGTTTTATAATACATAAATCCCAAGTATTTCCAACGTTATATAATACGTAAATTCCTCGTTTTTTATAACATTAGAAACTAACGTTGTCCATGACCTTTTCAACTTAAAAAATATATAATCTTCCAAACATTTTTTTTATATAGTGATATTCTTAGCTTTACTTTGCAGGAAAAATTAAAATCGCCTATGTAGCCGTTAGCCGTTGAGGAGATTAAATGAATTTTTTTTATAAATGATTGCGCAACAGTAAGCTTAGTATCTGTGTATCGCCTCTTGTGTTGAGGTTTCTTGGACATTTTTCTATTTCAATGGCTTCAAGGATGGTACGTTTGGTTCTGTATTAGATGCTAGCCAAGACCCTTGTTTTTAAAGTCAGTTTCCCAAAATCCCCAGCAATAGCCAATATTCATGGAAGACATAGAAGAACGAGCAATCGAAACGGCAACACTAAAATCAAAGTTATGGCTACGGTACCTAGAAGACATATTTATCAACTGGACCCACAGAGAAGCGGAACTTCAGGGTATAGGGGGCTACATGTTTAATGTACAGACAACTAACTCATTTTTATTAAAAAGTGGATAAGCCGAGTTTTGGAATGGACCTCCTCAAATTAAAAAAGGCTGTATATGGGCTAAAGCAGTCCCGCCGTGCATGGAACGAAAAAGTTGACGAACTTTTGTCAAGTATTGGGTATAAAAAATCTAAGATTGAGCCTTGTTTATTTTTGGCATGATAAATAAGATTGTTTGTACTCCACTTGATAACAGTATCAACTTGAGCAATGTTAAAGGTGAGACTTGTGATCCAGAAATTCCTTACCAGGAACTCATTGGAGGCTTGATGTATGTAGCTGTCATGACACGCCCTGATATTTCTCATGCTGTGAGTCTGCTAAGTCAAAACAATGGTTCTTATACCAAGTTGCACTGGCAGTGTGCAAAGCATTTACTCAGGTATTTAAAGGGAACCAAACACTTTTCCATAAAATTTTACAAAGAAAATTTGATTTTGATGGGGTTTGCAGATGCTGACTGGGGTTCAGACAGGCAAGACAGAAAATCTTTTACTGGTTATGTTTTTAAATTATCTGGGGTTTTTTTCTAATACCTTATTAGAGAAGTTAGTTAATAAAGTGATTCAAAAGCGTCAACACGATATTTTTCCAGAAGAGCCTTTCCATACGTTTTATCCTACCTGATTGATACAATTATTAATAACAACTATTACTGTTGGATAGGTATTATTACGGATTATACAAAAATTATTTACAATAACTACTACCATATTACAAACATTGGATTTTTGAATCCTTACATCCTTCATGAAGGTATAATATAATACCCTGAAATATCGAATTTGAAAAAAGTATATGCAGTTTTATTTTGTGCTTATATTATTAATGTTAGTGACCTTAGACTAGTGTTTTTATATGGCAAAATTAGTGATTCCATATGAGCTTTGTGAAATACAAAAACAAGCTTTGTGAAAAATAAAAACGAGTCAGTACTGGATGCTGATTCTGCTTTAGCACTGTTAACTCAGGCTCATTTATCGAGATACCAATATTAGGTCATTTAAAAGGCGATAAAAAAGGGTCAAAATATATTTCCAAGCTATAATAAAATACTGAAAGCTAAGAAGAAATGTTATCCGAAGAACTTTAATATTACGGAAACTTCGGCCAAGGTTCCGTTGCAAGATTTACTTGACTATATAGCAATAAGAATTTTCGAATCGCATTCCGAATGTTAGACCAATGCTTGGCCAGAAGACATTGTTCATTTACAATATGGGTATAGTGCATATCAGCAATCAGACAAGAGTAACGTTGCATCTGACTACCATCTGTGTATGACTTCCTTGGTTCCTTTAAGGATCAAAGCTGCTGGCACAGACAACATGGACATTTGGAAGAACTATTGTAGAGCCCTACATTTTTAATATAAAAAGGAAACCCCCAAGCTGACAAGGCTTGAGAAAAATCAAGTTGACACTGAAATAAAGAAATTATCTAAGACCTTTATAACATCATTGAACTGTCAAGGTGAAGCCAAACTACATTTCACCAGAATTGACGGAAAGGTTGCTCAAGTGGTTACCGATACTCCATCTCTTATCAAAGATGGATTGCTCAATTTCAAACGAGGAGGCTCTCAAGCCGGGGATGTCAACATTACATGCACATATTAAATTAATGGAATTTATTCTGCATCTCAGCTACAATTTGGACTTCGCAGCTTGGAGAACAACACCGGCAACACGTGTTTTAAAAGAAGAAAAGAAAAAACGAGTTGGAGATTCAAAATTACAGCTGTCCAATAATTATTATAATGACCGTTATTTTTATTATTATAATGACCGTTATTTTTTCTATAATGACCGTTATTTTTCCTTATAATTTAGAAGTGTGAAAAGCGACTTTTTTATGCAAGTGTTTAAGTTACACAAGAGCTTGAAAAATGCTTTTCTCACAAACTTGTGAAATACATTGTGTTTCACTAGTGAAACACAATGTATTTCTTACAACGAACAAATAGTATGTTTTTTCAGAATTTAAAGCCAATTTTATTTAAAATTTTACCTGACAACTGTTAAGCGGTTTTAACATTACTTTTACCAACCTGCCTTTTTTTGTCATTTTTTAAACAGAAACGTCACTTTTTATTCGAGTTTTGCCTTGCAAATTAAAATATTTAATTTCTTAGCAACGACGCCATACGAAACTTATCTAAATTTGATTGTTATCAAAAAACTAATTAAAAAAATAATAAAAAATAATAATAATAAAAATATTAATATTAAAAGTTTGGACAGGTTCAAAGCATTTAAACCGCTACAAAACGGCTCCAAAACTCTTCAAAATTATTCGGTCCAAAATTTTTACCGGTTACAAGTTTATAAATATAATAAAATATCACTTCATCCACTATGAAGGTAAGAAAAATTTTACTTTTGGAAAATCCCTTTATAAAACAATGTAGTTTTGCAAGAAGCGTCATAAAACAAACCGTTATTAAACGTAATTTATTAAAGATGAGGAAAATATGTTGAATTTCATAAACTAAGTTGTCTTGATATTGTTATCAAGATCTTTTTACACAAGATTGTCTATCGAAACATTTGATTATGTAGCTGATTGATCAGTTATAGTTTCTCGCATATTATAGTGACAAACTATACCAAGAAATCAATATCAGTTGACTGGTCTTAAAGTATATGACGTTTTTTTTACTCCAGAAATCAAGTTTTCTATGTTAATGTCAACGCTGTGTGTCTGTTGCAATACGCGCCCTCCCGTATCCACTCGCGCCCGGTTCTGTCGCTTTTGATAAAGACACACTGTATTACCAACAGTCTAAAATAATAAATTCCTTATATCGATGCTTTTAAGAAGTACTTTTAAGTAGTACTGAAAATAAAGCTTATAATAGCTCTTAGAAGCATCGAAATAGACTATTCGATATTTTTTAGATTTGACAGACACCAAAAAAGAACCTAAATTAATTTTGTTAATAATTATTATACTCACCAACAACAGTTAGTGGTTTTCTTTGAGGCACAAGCCCAAAACTATATTGGAAAAAACCTCTTCCTAAAGGTATAATTGGAGCCATTCCGGTATACTTTCGTAAAGCTTCTTGTAATCGATGGAACCAACTACCTTTAGAACTAGAAAATTGAGTAAATAAATCTGTCTCGCCAAAATTCAGTACTGGAACTAAAGGTGTTCCATTTCTTATTGCAAGTTTAACAAAACCTTTTCGCTTTTTTAAAACGAATGTGTATTCTCCAGGTTTGCAATAATAAGCCTCAGCTGCACCGCCTACCATTAAAACGGCTATTCTTCCACCTTCTGGCTGCTTTAAAACATAGTCAATAGATTTGTACGAAGCTGATATTCCACCAAGGCTTAATCCGAAGTCTCTATAGAAAGGCATTTTATAATGTTGGGCTAATGTAACTACAGAAGCTTGATGGTGAGGAAAGTGTTCATTAAATCCACTGCGATCATATACAAAAGCATTAAACGAACCAGCAGATAACATTCCATGTGGAAAACTACAAAACAAGTAATTTTGTCTGGGATCCAGTTCCACACCTTCTACCTTAATTAACTTAAATGGAAAATATTCTTTCAGATATTTCCACCATGTTAAACTTTTCATGTATTTTGATGGCCTTCCGCCTCTTTCCTCTATATCTTTATCTATAAAAAACATCCAACCCAGGTAGAATAGGGTGATCCATCTCAGTCTGGTATATAGTATAAAGTAAGCCGTTAAGCCCCAGCCTGCGAAACCTCCAAATGCCAATATTATAAACCAAGCTGCTGCTGCAAGCGTCTGCAGTCTTCTTTGCATTGGAACATTTAAAGGGGCAAATTGTATTCCCAAAATATTCATCTAAAAATACATAAAATATGGAATCAAATTAAACTATAAAGTAACTTAGTTTATTAAATTTATTATAATCATAAAAGTTGTTAAAAATAAAAATTGTTAAATGATTATAATAATAATTATTAAATATCAATAAATGCACTGCTGTTTTTTAATTTTAATTTGCACACTTTTTTAACATAAATTCATAACTTTGTTAAAATTAACAAATTTAAACTTTTTTAAACTTTTAAAAAATATTTTATATATAACTAAATAAATAGTTTTAAAACATTAATACCACAAAAGTGTATTACAATTAAAACCAACTCTAAAACTACTTGTGATAAAATGTGGTGTATTTTTTTAAATAACCCATATAAATAAAACCAATATATCGCGTGAGCTTAGAAATTAGTGCGTAAACTCGTTTAAAATAATTTTAAATATATACAGGGTGTCCTGTACATATGCACCTTCATTTACGCACAGTAGCTCAAAACAGATTCTGGTTACCTAGTTACTTTTGCTTTGTGATGCGTGTTTTGAGGTGTGAGATGCAAAATGGATTTGAATTTGAGGTTAGTTCATCAAATTAATCTTTTCTTTGACAAGATTTGCCCATTTTCCAGAATTTTATGGAAAGCGTTGCGTTTTTTTAATTCAAAATACTGACTCTTACATTTAGGTTTCATTTTCGAAATCACAATCGGAAGATATTTTGACAGTTTTTTATGGCTATCATAAAATGTCATATTATTTTTGCGAAAAAAAAAAATATAAATTTTGTTGTTGAGGCAACAGGTTTTTAAAAATCTTTATTTTCTGTTGTAATCTGCCAAATTTGCTTTAATTTCAGGAATTGATTATATGGTTTTATTTTTACGTAATTTAATCGCTGGTTTGCTAGAAATGTGTAAAATTAAGAATTGTGTAAAGAAATATACTTGTACATTAGGGTGTCTGTTATTTACCAACTTATTTTATTTTTAGTTTATGACCTAACAAAATTATCAGACTCATATAAGTCCTTAATATTCACATTAAACCTTGCCACAAAGACGATACATTTTCCATTTAAATTACAGGGGGTTTCGGCACGTTTTACATTTATTTTTTTCTCCCGATCAAGTTAATATACAGCAATAGAAGACATATTTTTATAAGAAATTAAACGCTTTACAAAAAAGCACTCTTTTGATTTTTCTGATAAATTCACTGGTTTAAAAGTTATTTAAGGTTAAAGTTAAACCCCTCCCGCGAAAATCTTTACTGAGCCCCCTGATTTCACATATTTTTATATTGAAAATAAAAATTATTATTTTAATTTATTATTATTATTATTTATTAAAAAAAATATTTGTAAACGAAAAATAACAATAACAACTTTTTTACATAATGCGAAAGAATATTTTATATAAATAAGGTTCTCCACTGTTTCTTATACAGTTCAACACGCAGGGCCGGATTAAGAGTTTTAAGGCCCTGGGGCCGACATTTGGTAGGGGCCCTCAATATTTCTAAAATTGTTAACATTGGAAAATTAAAACTCATGGTAAATTTTTAAGCTAGATGAACTTTACGTAATTTTTTATTATCCTTTAATCATTTATTATTTAATAAACCATATAAATTTTAATAAAATCGGCCAAAGCGTTTTTAAGCTAAAAATAGAATTGTGAGTGTTTTTATATATATATATTTTATATATTTTGAATAATACAAAGATAACCTTATATACATTTTACTCAAGTAAAATATAAATTGATCTATGTTTTGTTTTTAATACTTACCGCAAACTGAAAAAAGTGCATCAAAAGTCAAGTGTCTGTTTTCCATACAAAATCAAACAATAAAACAATCTTTTGTCCAAAGAAAAGAACGAAACAGTATTTCGGAAACACCGGAAAATATTCCACAGCACTCCAATGTACCAATAAAAATAACTTTAACTTTAAACAAAAAATAACTTTAATATTAGATTATAAGTAATTGACTGTTTGCCTGGATTTACAAAAACGTTACGACAAGCACTAAAGAAGCAACTGCTTAAAATTGTAATGGGTCATAACTTATGACTATAGACTATATAAAAACGCCTTCGCGCGCCAAAACTTTGAGTGTGATAATTTACATTCTGATTTGCGATAAAATATCCGCAAAAAAATAGAGTTAAATCTGCTAAAAATTAATTGAAAATTACAGGATTCGTGGTATATCCAACCCAATTTTTTGTTTTCTCGCCAATTTTTTTCATATTCGTTTCATTAAAAAGCTACATATTGCATTGGTGGGGGCCCCTAAATGGTGGGGGCCCTGGGGCCGTGGCCCCGCTGGCCCCATGCTAAATCCGGCCCTGTCAACACGATTTACCTCCCATGAAAAAATTTAACAGATTTTAAAATATAGGTTAAAAAAAACATGTCCGTGACTTACCGTTTTACGAAATAACTTCATTAAAATTTTTTATACAGCCATTCTTATTATTTTAACATATATTTTACATATATTTAATTTTCTATTTTGTTATAATTTTTTTTTTCAAATATTGAATGTTTTAAATAATAGAAAAATTATACATAAAAAAAAAATTTAAATAAAAATTCTATAAATTAAAATAAAAAAAAATTAATTTATGATTTTTTTTTTAAATAAAATTTATTCATTAAATAAAATTTTTCAAAAACTATACATTTAGCTGTTATTGAAGTCGTGATCTGAAAAAACGCCGAGACACGGGTATCATTTTTTAAGTCTATTTTCAAAATCTGTAATCTTGAGAAAATAATTTAAATTTTGTCATACTACTAAAATAATAGAAAAATAATATCATATTTTTATAACATACAAAGATAACTAGCAATCTAAGCAATCTTAGAATGTTTCCATAATTTTTAAGCGTCGCGTCAAGTTTTTTGTTTTGCAGATAATACAATGGAAATAAGTTTTTTAATGTTTTGGAGCAAGTATAGGCCGGGCCCCCACAAGGCTAGGGCCCCCGCTTTGGCGGGCGTTCACGGTACTGTCGCTACGCCACTGTTCTCTCTTCTAATCTGTCGCAAAATTTGCTTTACATTAATTTCAGAAATTAATTGATGATTTTATTTTTATGTCATTTCAAAGCTGGTTTGCCAGAACGGTTGCACCCAAAAATGGGTAAAATTGATAATTTTATAAAGACATATTAGTAATATTAAGAGTAAATGATAATTGAACGGGCAAGAGAATGATATTTTTTTTATAATAAAGGGCAAACAAAATTGTTATTGCAATACCAAATTTATTTTAATTTATAATCACAATATTGTTTTTTTCTACTTTAATAAAAAAATTTACTTTACCCCTTGAATAAGATCACATGTCTCAATATGCAGGCCCTGTATAATAATGTAAATTAAATTTAAAAAACTCGGTATGCCAAAATTATTATTGTCACAATTTATATTCGTGAAAAAACAGCAATCACATGAAATGTGTAAAAATGGATTTTTTGTTTTGTACACCCAAAAACGAACTTTATGTAAATATTGTAATTGTTCCTTACTGACACGGTTTACAAATTTATTTTCAAGGAAAGTAACGTAGTTTTATATATTTTACAAATTTATTTTAGAATAAATTTGAAATTTAGTGTGGTAAAAAGGGACACTTAGGTAAAGGAATTACAGGTTTTTCGAAGTTTGCCTAAAAATCTGGCGTCCAGATGATTCAAGAAACGATGGTCCAGGTACACGAATAGAGTAAAGGGAAGCAAAAAACAGGCAGAAAGTTTTTGGAAGTGTTAGCGAACGGATCGTTTCTTGTAAATTTTTGCTAAAACGAAATTTATTGCAAAGTTCTATTTAAATTATTGTTATGACTGTTTGTGTATTCTCCAAGGTTAGTTTTTAATTTAGAATATTTAAAACGAAAAGTAAAATAAATGTGATGACAATAAATATTTTATTCGAAACATCTGACTTATTATTTCGACAAAGGACTTCCTAAAGCATATCAGTTTTTTTAATATGGTAGTCTTGGAAAGGTGATATCTTGAGAACAGTCACTTACTACCAAAACACATATTCACACATAATTACAATTGTTTGAGTGAACACAGTGTCGTAGAAACGGGGGTTGCTTTAAGCTTATTGTCCCATACAAACTTTGAGGTTAGGTTTTTATAACATTTGATGCAATTTTTAGATTACACAGTTCGGCTACCATTAAAAAGGTGTACCTCTCAAACTTTGATAAAATAAACCGTTTCCGAGATATTCGAGATTACAATAATTGTTATATCGCATTATTTAAAAGGATTAAAAAGTATATGATAACAAATTTTATTTTTTAATTGAAAAAACTAAAAAAGGCATTCCATGAGCTTTGGGACGTTTTGCCCTGACCGTCACATTAAAAAAAATTGTAGTTTTTTCAATTAAAAATTTGTTACCATATGGGTCAGAATTTCTCAAACGGGCCACCTGAATTAGGTCAAAATTAGTTTTTGTTTGTAGATACATTTTTTCGATAGTATTTTACATCACTAACACAAATCCTAAAGGATTTTGTAAAAAAATAATTTTCAATTGACATATTCATGATATTAAAAGTCAAAGTTTTTAATAATTAAAAAATAAAAAAAATCATTATGGCTAAACTAATTATCCGATTCCAACGATATAACTAGCGTTGGAATCTTGTTTTGACATAGATTCTTTGTTATTTTTTTCAATTGTCCAATTTTCATTTGGGTCGATTTTTTTTTGTTTTTTTTATACCAAATTCGGAAATAATTGGCTTCTGCGCCAGCTATCGACTCGAAAAAAAAAACACATATACTCCAATCATTTCTAGAAATTATTCTGCTGAGAAAAAAAATGGCCCGTAGGTTGACAAAAAGTTATTCGTCCTTTTGTGGCCGCGCGCGGTGTCAGCTCACGCTCCGAACCGTGTATGCTGTACGCGCTTGTGACGCGACGTCTTACGGTGGTCTGGTCTGCGGGCCATTTTTTTTCTCAGCAGCATAATTTCGAAAAATGATTGGAGTATATGTGTTTTTTTTTTCGAGTCGATAGCTGGCGCAGAAGCCAATTATTTCCGAATTTGTTATAAAAAAACAAAAAAAAATCGACCAAAATGAAAATTGTACAATTGAAAAAAATAACAAAGAATCTATGTCAAAACAAGATTCCAACGCTGGAATCGTTGGAATCGGATAATTAGTTTAGCCATAATGATTTTTTTTATTTTTTAATTACTAAAAACTTTTACTTTTAATATCATAAATACCTATGTCAATTGAAAATTTTTTTTTTACAAAATCCTTTAGGATTTGTTTTAGTGATGTAAAATACTATCGAAAAAATGTATCTAAAATCAAAAACTAATTTTGACCTAATTCAGGTGGCCCGTTTGAGAAATTCTGACCCATATACCTTTTAGTCCTTTAATGCGATATATCAATTATTGAAATCTCGAATATATCGGAAACGGTTTATTTTATCGAAGTTTAAGAGGTACACCTTTTTAATAGTAGCCGAACTGAGTAATCGAAAAATTGCATCAAATGGTATAAAAACCTAACCTCAAAGTTTGTATGGGACAATAAGCTTAAGCAACCCCTCTTTCTACGACACTGTGTTTATTAGAACAATTGTAATTATGTGTGAATATGTGTTTTGGTAGTAAGTGACTGTTCGCAAAATATCACCTTTCCAAGTCTACCATAGTAGAAGTTATATTAAAAAAACTGATATGATAAGTAGCACTTATCACCCTGTATCTTTTAAACAAACGTAATTAGGAAAAATATTTATTTAGATTTTCGTCTTATTTTGACTTGCTTACCCACTGGGAAAAATAATATTTCTACAATGTTACTGAACGTTACATTTGTTAGATGTAATGTTACAAAAATCCTTGTGGCAATGTTGCAGGAACATTGCAACAAAGCCTTATGTCCGGCTCAGGAACATTACATTTACAAATAAAATGTTGCTTAAATGTATTATTTACAATGTTACTAAATGTTATTTTTGTTAATGAAAGGTTCCTGCAACATTACAGGAACATTGCAATTAAATTAATATGAATTATTATAATAATAATTAAACAATAGGTTTTCTACTTTACGCCAGTAGTAGGCAACCAATATTGCAAAGACTGAAATGCCTTCCCATCTCGCCACCGAGCCGAGCTTGAAGCGCGTCTCCCGAATGGTATGGTCCAATTACTAATGCACCATACCCACCAACACTGTTTGGTCTCATCAGTGTCAGGTAGTCGGTGACGGGAGACACGCATCAAGCTCGTCACTGTTTACTTATAAAGATATAAATGACCAAGACAGTGGCGAGATGCATCGGCAAGTCAGTCTGCAAACAACATTGCAAAAATTATCTTAATGCAATATTTCGGATGAAACATAGTCCAAAACTAAAGTTATAATTATAAAAGTAATATTATAGTTAGTTACAATTTTCCAAAAATCTTGCAAATTAAATGTTTATATTGTTTATATAAAGCAACATTGCAAAAATGATCTTAATGTAATATTTCGGATGAAACATTGCCCAAAACTTATCAATGTAATATTATAATTGCAATGTTTCAAAAATCTTGCAAATTAAATGTTTATATTGTTTATATAAAGTAACATTGCAAAAATCATATTAATGTATTATTTCGGATGAAACATTGCCAAAAACTTATCAATGTAATATTATAATTGCAATGTTCCAAAAATCTTGCAAATTAAATGTTTATATTGTTTATATAAAGTAACATTGCAAAAATCATCTTAATGTAATATTTCGGATAAAACATTGCCCAAAATTTATCAATTTGCAATGTTTCAAAGATATTCCCAAACATTCCAAAATAAATGTTTCTATTGTATATTTAAAGTAAAGTTGCAAACATTTTTCATTTGAAACTTGTGTTAATATTTCAATTGAAACATTGAAAAAAAGTTATGTCTGCAATATTATAATTGTAATGTTTAAAAACTTGTATGCAACATTTTATACTAAATGTTACAAATATAACATTGTAAAAACTTTCCATGTGAATCTTTAAATAATGTTTCAAATTTAAGGTTGTTGGAAATTATTATATGCAATATTTCAAATATAACATTTCATTTATGTTAATGCAAGTAGCACAGGAAATATTTTATTTGTAAAGTCGGCGAACACTGCAGCAATATTTTGTAAGGTTTCTTTCCCAGTGGGTAATCTGCTCCTAAATTTATGCCACTAAGTTTAGGGACACCTTGTATATTAATAAATAATTAAATAACTACATTATTTATGTATTTTGCACCTGCACATTAAATTAAAGGTTTTATAGGTTTTAAAACTTTATTTATTTACTTATCCTATATTAACTAAACCTTACCTTATTTAAATCTTAACCTTATTTAACAAAAAACACGTGAATTCCAAATTAAATCTATTTAAAGCCGCACTAGCATACATAGACCGTTATACCGTTTTGTTTTACCACAATAAAACTTGTTTGGTGTATTCTCCAATGTCACGCTACAAAATCCTCTGATTAAAAAATTTAAACCGACAGACCCCACCACTTTAGGTACCTTTGTATGTATATGAATAACAACGTAAAACTGTGATAAAATCATATCTAAGTTATAATCAAATAAATCTATATACATTTAAAAGGCAAATACCTATAGGTATCAAAATAATATATCTATAATTAAGTTAGTTACATGAAATATATACATACATAATGTCGGTATTACGGGTTAGTTAATCATTAAAATTTCATTAAAAGCACATACCAAATTGGCAGGGTTAATGATTTATTTAAAAAAGTTATATATATATATATATATATATATATATATATATATAGTTATGTATATATATATATATATATATATACATGATAATAATAATAATAATATTTATTGGCTGAACATAAAACATAAACGAATAAAAGACACAAAATATTTAATAGAAATTTACAGCAATAAATATGAGTATATACACAAAAACGCAACAATGTGCAGTTTTACGTGCAATTCATTACTCTATTAACATAACTACAATTATATAAGTAAATAAACAGAAAAATAACAATACAAATATTATACATTTAGGTATATCTATACAGGGTGTCTCACCAGCGATGGGACCTTAGACTTTTACGGAGAACGGCTGAGGATATCAATTTGAAATTTTTATAGCAATTATTGAACAATTTAATCTACCTTTTAAAATTATTTTAAATAAAATTCCTCTTCCGGTTTAACCGGAAGCGACATCAACTTTGTTATTTCCAATGGAACACCCTGTAAATTTTTTTATTTTTAAATTCCTCATGAAATTCTTAATGAAATTGCTGTACCATTCCCTATAGCTAAACTTAATAGTTTTCGAGTTAATAATTTTTTTCGTAAAATTTTGACAGTTCCACCTTCATTAAAAATTGCTTATAACTTTTTTGATATTCGGTTTGCTCGTGTGCTAGAAGAATTTTTGGAATCTTAAAACATTGTTTTAAAGATTCCATGTCTGAAATTTTCATATTTATGATCAAAAACCAGAGAAAAATCGTGGTAAATTTGGTTAACTTCAAACATTAATAACTTGTTTATTTTCAATGGAACGATATGCATGTTTTTACATAATCAAATAGGAAAATGAATTACATTTCGATTGGTATAACCATTCCCTATACCTAAATAGTAAGGTTTCGGAAATACAAGCAAATTTCTGTAAAAATCCAATATTTTGACATATTTATCTCAGATACCGATGAAATGTCACAACAAATTAGTTATGTCATTGATTGACAGTTGATACTTTTCTTAACCAAGTGGTGTTCAAAATTTCCAAAAGCGTTTAAAAATTAAGTAAAATGGATAGAAACAACTATTCCCATGAGGTTTTGATGCAAATATGTATTATTCACGGACAATGTAATCAAATTGTAACAAGAACATGCAGAGTATTCAACGACAGGTTCCCAGATTTACCACCACTGAACAAGAAGAAGTTTAGAAGAATAAAACATAATTTTATTAATTTTGGGTCACGACTGAGAGCAGATAGATCAAGACCCAAGCCTGTATGCAATGAAGACAATATTATAAATGTTTTGGCTTATTTTGAAGCACACCCAAATGTCTCTAGGGGCCGGTCGACTTTAACTCACTCCGAATTTCCAATTTTTATTGACATCATTAAAAAAAGGGTGTTTTAAATAGCCAATATCAAAAATAAAAAATGCGGGTTTTTAAGTAATTTTTGAGAAAATTAAGTTTGAAAATGTAATTTTTAACAATTTTTTTGACATAAAATGTCAGATTCGAAGCAATGTTGCCAGATGTAATATTTTTACCTTGTTTAGGGAAATTCGGTATGCAACCCAGATTGCATTCTAAAATAGGTATTATTTATAAATATGAATTATACCATAAATTAAAGAACTTTCTATAGGTACATGTTGTGTTAATAAAAAATAATATAAAATAGATTTTTAAAATGTATTTATTAAGATAACAATTTTATATATAAAGATTGTACATACTTTTTAAATTAATATATGAAACAACAAAATAAACTCTTAATTACCTATGCAACAAATATAACAATTAAATATAACATTAATAGTGTCTAATGTAGGGGCCTAATATTTATTTTCATATTTTATCTTTTGTAATTTCAATTCTGATTGATTGAAACTTAATAGGTATGTTGTTTTACTCTGTGGTATATACAAATTAGTAGTTTACCTATTTTTCCAAATAAAAAAACACATTTCAAAATTAGAGATAAGTACAAAAACCATATACAAACAAATCACATTACTGTATAATATTTAATAAATACTATGTATAATAGTATATTATATATAATATACTATTATATTATACCTATAGGTATATGCACATTATCTGTGCATTATCTTAAGTTTAATACTATTTATGCTTTTTTTACTCCAATTAAGTAATTTTTATTATTAAAAAAATAAATTTTAACCTCACTTTCTCTCGATTTTAAAGATAATTATAGTTACCCTTTGTATATATGTAAAAATCTGACATCTGTTAGACAGTTACAATCTCACTTTTCACAATTTAAATCCTGATTGTTTTAAATCACAGTGAATATTGAAATTGGCCAATCACTGATGCCTAGCAACGTAAATAATGAGTTTATTATTCCCGTTGTTAGGTGGGTACAATTAATACGAAAATACCAAAATAATCTAAATAATATGCAAGAGTTAAAAAATATGTTTATAAATTCAAATTTTAAAATGCATTCATATTAATTAAAAATTGTACAAACAGTTAACTGTACAATTGTACAAGTTGTACAGTACAGGGCTAGTGCGACGATCGACGTGGACGTCGACCGCCCCTAAAGTTACATGGTTTTGGGCCTAGACAAAACCAAGGTACAAACAACAAGTTGTACAAACAGGGTTACAGTGACGATCGACGCGAAAGTCGATCGCCACTAAAGTCACATTGTTTTGAGCCACCGTCCGCTCGTTATGAGCGTGATTCTGTTTATAAAATCAGTTTAAAGTTCAAAATTAAATTTTTAGAGAAGATTCCTGTCATACTGGACAAGATTACTATCGCAACGACGAGTCATAACTAAAGCCTGAATTATAGATTGCCTTCCTTCCGTAGAAGATGAACAATACGAAAATCGTAGTGCCATTTATAGATTTCCCTACGGGACAACAGGTTTTTGTTTTCTTCAACTTCTACGGGAGGAAGGAAGGAAGGAAGGCAATCTATAAATCAGGCTTTATGGCTCATCGGTCTAAAATAGGCTTGCTCTTGCCGAGTGTTTTGACTATCGAGTGAAAGTCAGGGAACATTCTCAATACTAAAATTGTTTGCGCAATTTTATTATTGTACATATTCATGACGTTGATTTAATAGTCAAAATATTCGGTAGGAACAAACCTAACAATATGGTAGTTACTATCTAGTGGGGAAAAATAATGTTTTAATAAATGAATGAACATTAAAATTTTAAATTATAAAAATATTAAAAAAAAAAAATAAAAACAAAGATTTAAAAAAATTACGGATAGCGTTGGGATATATGTAATATTAAATTACTGAAGCGATTGACTGCCGTACCCCCATAAAGACCATTCCATAAAAATTGGTCGATATATTCGTATAAGAATGGAGAACCAATTACTCCCAACCGCCGTAAATATTGCTTGAGCTTGCTCCAATAGCCTTCCACATGATTGGTACATACACCAGTCACTGGATCTCGAAAATATCGAGAATGGTTAACAGTGCGGTGTATATATCCATGATGTGGAAGACTATTGTAGCCTCTCCACATGTCGGTCCAGATCTCACTTCCGGCTCTCACGTGGTTCTGGATAATTGGGATTAGCACTTGGGCACTACGGTTTTGAACATGCTGTATATATCCCAGATTGTTCGTGGTATCATAAATCCCTAAAATCCATTTTTCGGGGACCACGCGCCCTCTGTGGTATTTCCTTTTCGTTATGACCGACTCATCAATTTGTACGGTTGTCCCAGGGCCTCCTAAAAGTAATAATAAATTTAGTTTACGAGCGCATAAATGGACTTAGGCAACTTAATCAATTTAATTAAATGCCGAGCGAAGCGAGTCGGGCTTGGTCAGTGCCTGAGCCCATTTTTGCGCGCGCAAAAATGGGCTCAGGCACTGACCAAGCCCGCCTAGGCTACTTGTGAACTTAATCAATTTAATTAAATGCCGAGCGAAGCGAGGCGGGCTTGGTCAGTGCCTGAGCCCATTTTTGCGCGCGCAAAAATGGGCTCAGGCACTGACCAAGCCCGCCAAGGCTACTTGTGAACTTAATCAATTTAATTAAATGCCGAGCGAAGCGAGGCGGGCTTTGTCAGTGCCTGAGCCCATTTTTGCGCGCGCAAAAATGGGCTCAGGCACTGACCAAGCCCGCCCAGGCCACATAAATGCTGAGCGAATCGAGATGGGCGTGATCAGTTTATTCTTTATACTTGGCACTTTTTCAAAACAATTAGGTATACTTAACTGTTGATAATATTATATAATATTGTACTTACCCAATAAAAATGGTTCTTGCATTAATTTCCAAGATAAAATGTCTCTAATATACCGAAAGGTTTGAATGGATAGCCCGCGATGAGTACCCGTGATCTGGGCGACGGAGCCAGTTCTGACTTCACACGCCCAGTACCACATGATGTGGATTACATCGCGGACAGACACTCTCATTTGGTGAAAGAAACTTCCCGATAGTACGCTATACTCCCTTTTACAAGGGCGGCAGTAAAATGCGTGATTAAGAGCAAACTGTCCATCCCTGGCTCTTAATTCACACATTCTTCGGCAGTTTCTTACCTTGCAACGAAACTGGGCTTTTAAAAGTCCAGCCTGTTGTAGGGCAGTAATTAGTTCTTCGTCAGGTTTCGAAGTTAACTCAAAAACGTTGGTAATATTTTGAATATTCATTTTTCAAACATATAACAAATACGCAAACAGCAAAAATAAATCACAATTGACACTTTATCAATTAAATGACAA